CAGTTTCTCCACCTCGGAATACTTAGTTTTGGCTTCAAAGCGAACCTTGCTGATGTAGTATATCGGCTTCTACATTTCATCTTCTCTTTTTAGAACTGAGTTGAATGCCTCATCTCCGGTCGATAGGTATAGATATAGGGTTTTTCCTGGAGTTGGCCAAGCGAGGAGGGGAGGTGAGGCAAGGTATGCCTTGAGTTCGTCGAAAGCGTGCTGACACTCCTTCGTCCACTAGAAATCTTTCAGTTTCTTGATGGCGCGGAAGAAGGGCAGACAACGGTTAGCCAACTTTGACATGAAGCGGTTGAGGACCACTATTCGGCCAGTGAGCCTTTGAGTCTCCTTCACTGACCAAGGGGGTGCCAGGTCCAGGATGGCTTGTATCTTGTTCGGATTGGCCTTAATGCCTCTTTGTGTGACGACGAAGCCCAAAAACTTGCCCAAGGTGATGCCAAAGGCACATGTTCCTCCCGGTCCGAGGTGTTGAAGGTGTCGGCCCGGTTCGAGGTGTGTGCTTCGGCTTTCAGGCTCTTCACCACTATATCATCCACGTAGGCTTTGATGTTCCTCCCTATCTAATTTTTAAACACGTTGTTGACGAGGCGTTGGTAGGTGGCCCCTGCATTCTTGAGACCGAAAGGCATTACTTTGTAGTAGTAAGTGTCATGCTCGGTGATGAATGAGGTCTTCTCCTCATCCTCTGGGTGCATTTTTATCTAATTGTACCCGAATAAGGCATCCTTAAAACTAAGTAGTTCGTACCATGCAGCGGCATTGATGAGGTGGTCTATCCTCAGCAAAGGAAAACTGTCCTTAGGGCAGGCTCGGTTAAGGTCTGTAAAATCAATACAGATCTGCCATTTCCCATTAGCTTTCTTTACCAAAACCACATTCGACAACCAATTAGGGTAGTATACCTCTTGGATGAAGCTGGCTTCGAGTAACTTGTCAACTTCCTCTCCTATGGCCTTCTAACTTTCTGGTGCAAAGTTCCTCTTCTTCTGCCGAACTGGCCTAGAGCTCAGGTCCATGCTCAGCCAGTAAGTGATGACCGAGGGGTCAATTTCGGGCATGTCAGCGGCGAACCAAGAAAAGACGTCGGCATTAGTTTTGAGGAAACTTACCAGTTCCGATAGGCCTTCTAGGGGAAGGTTGGACCCGACATGGATTGCCTTCTTAGGCTCGGCCTTATCTAGGGGAACCGAGATTAGGTCCTCGGCTCGCTAGTTCCTCCCTAAGGTCGAAGCCCTCTAGTGGCAATGCTTCCTTGTTCTTGCCCTTTAGTGCTGCCATATGGCACTAGTGTGTTGTTTGCTGGTTCCTACGAACGACTCCGACGTAGGGTGAGGTGGTATGAGGAGATGGCTACCCTGAGTGCGTGAAGGGTCAGCCCCACCATGATTGCATTGTAGGGCGAGCCGATCTTCACGACTAGGAACTCGTTCATCCTCGTCATCTATTGAGGCTCGGTCCCTACCGTGACAGGTAGGGTAATTCTTCCCTCCGGTTTGACCATGTTACCGAAGAAGCCGACCAGTGGGACATCGGCTGGATGGAGAGGCGCTCAGGCGCTATCTTCATCTTCTCGAAGGCTTTGTAGAAGAGGATGTCGGCCGAGGAGCCACTGTCGACGAGAATCCTCTTAACTACGAAGTTTGCGATGATGACTGAGATCACTAGAGCGTAATCATGGGGGACTGTAACCCTCTTCAAGTCCTCGTCCGTGAAGGAGAGGGTCTCTTGCTGCTTCGTCTTCTTGGGAACATTCCCTTGGATGTTTAGCTGCTTGGCATAGGCTTTGTGGGCCGAGGCAAAGGCTGTGCCCCCAACGATGATGTCGATGGCTCCAACTATTTGCTGGTGGGGGTGGTGCTACTGCTGCTAGGAGGACGAGGCACCAGACTCGCCACTAACGATCTGCTTAAGGTGCCCTCATTGGATAAGGGACTCTATCTCGTTTTTCAAGTCATAGCATTCCTTTGTGTCATGGTGGTACTTGTAGTAATTCTTGTTATTTCCCCTTTTGGGGTTTCTCTTCATCTTCTCAGGCCACTTTGTGAACTTCTCCTCGTAGATCTGCATCAAGTATCTGCGTCCGGGTGAAGTTGAGTGGCGTGTATTGGTTGTAAGTTAGGGCCGAGGTGATGGCTTCTTGTTGTCCTTGCTACTGTTGTTGTTGTGGTGGTGGTCTCCACCCTTCCTCTTCTTCTCCATGGGCCCGTTGTAGCGCTTGACCTCTCTTTCTTAGTGGTCCTTGGCCAAAGCCTCCTCAGTCGTAGTGTACTTTTGGGCTTTCTTGAGGAACTCTAGCTTCATCTTTGGCGGGGTCTTGGCAACCGAGCACTTTAGTGCCGAACCGGGGTGGAGCCTATTGATGGCAGCGTGCATAGAGACCATAGGGTCGAGGTCATAGACCTCGAGCTCTTCCTTTTTGAAGCAGTCAATATAGGACTGCAAACTCTCTCCCTGCTTTTGCTTAATGGACATTAGCAAAACTACACTCTTCTGGCATTGTCTGCTGATGAAGCAAGCAAGGAATAGGTTGGCAAATTGCTCCCATGAGTTGATTGACCGAGGCGAGAGGCTGGAGAATCAACGACGGGTGGCCCCCTTGAAGGTGGCTTGGAAAGTTCGGCATCAACGTGTTAGAATACACATAGAGTATCATGAGTGCTTTGAAACTTTCTAGGTGGTGATCGGGGTTTGAGTTCCCGTTGTACATCTCCAGCGTGGAAGCTTTAAAGTGCTGGGAGAGAGGCTCGGAGATGATGTCCGGGGTGAAGTTATCCATTCTCCCTATCAGATTGCTTTGATCGGCCAAGGCATTGGCTCGGCTCTCTCGGACTTGGCGGAGCTTGTCCTTGACGGCCTTGAGCTTGGCTCATAGTTCCACAATCCTAGGGTCACGAACTCCTGAATGCTTCGAGGCAGGGCCACGCGTCTCCCGTCTAGCGCGACAGTCGTTTAGGACGTCACAGAGGTTCGAGACCAGTGTGGGAGAGGTGCGGCGTTGGCCCTCAGCCCTTGAGTGGGTGCTACGACGGCCGAGGTGCCCGCCTTCATCCTGGAGGTTCTCCCTCCTACAGTGGTGGTGTTGTTCAGAAGGCTAACATTTGTCTTCGGAATGCACTGGCTCTTCCTCCCTTTAGTTGAGAGGTCTCACATTTCTCTATGTTGGGCTGGTGGGTCGGCTGGGGATCTGACACCTCGGCGGGGTGGTTGCCTTGGGAGGGACCTCTTGCCTGGGGGCAGGCTTGTTCCACGCACTGCGTGAGGTATTCCAGACAGTCAAGGATCGCCTGGGACTGTTCATTTGTGACCAGGTTCTAAGGGTTCTTGTCTCTTCGTACCATAGTGCTTGAAGCTTAGGAGATCTTAAGTTTGTAGTGTTTTAGGGGATCGTCTTAGCAACGGTTTCCATAGATGACGTCAATTGTTGATGCTCGGTTTTGTCGAGGGCAACAAAGTAAATTTGCTCTCAAGCTGCGAAGGAAGGCCGAAGGCTTCGAGGGTCCAGAGGAGAGGAGTCGAGGTTGAGGCGGATTGTTCCTTCAGATATTGTTGAGGCCGAGGGCTGGTACTAAGAAGGGAGTTCGAGGAGAGAAGAGATGTGGTTGTTCATTTGCGCACACCGATGGCTCTAGAGGGGCTCTCGGTAGTGGTTCTGCAAGGAAGAAGATGTCAGAGGCCTCGGGTGAGAACCTGAGGTAAGGACTCCGACGGTCAAGTTAGTATGCATACAAGGTAAGCAGAAAGTTTAGAGCCGAGGGGTCCAGATGAGATCTCAGATAGCGCTAAGTCCTTAGAGGAGAGAGCACTAGAGATCACATAGGTTTTTCGTATCCCTTACCTTGTGGGCGGTGCCTTGCATTTATAGTTAGAGTTGTTAGGGGGTAGTTAGTATCGGATGGTCCAGATGTGAGTTGTACGAGGGCTTGGCGAGATGTTCTCCCAAAGGCACACGACGCCCTACGATTGGGTCCACCTGGTCCGCATCGGGTAACCCCGAGTGTCCTCATGGTGAGCCTATGCTGGTGCCCTCTAGTCAACACATGTCAGCTCTGTATAGGCCAGTCGATTACACCTATATTAGTGACCAAATTAAAAAAAAAAATCAAAACAATGGTAAAGGCAAGATTCAATTCCAAGTCTCAATTACAAATAGAGTTGTCAATTGGATCAAATTTTGTCCAATCCAATTCGGTTCAATATAAGTCCATTACTGATGGACCAAGTTAAATCCAATACAATAAAATACTTTGGACCATTCCACTTCAATGTCTAGATCGTCCAATATGTTCAAATTGGTTTTAATTTAGATTGATTCAAACCCAAACATGGTCCATTGACACCTATAGTCTTATCTTCTATTAATCGACTACATATTAATTCAATCTAACCCAATCTAAAATAAAATCATTATAGATGAACGAGATCCCATCCAATCCAACAAAAACCATTAAAATTTGAACATGCCCAATTCAATATCTTATTGATCCATCCAATCCATCTAAATTGATTTTGATTTAGATGGGTCCAATCCAAAACCGGTCCATTGACACCCTTAATGACAACTAGGTAAAGACCTTACCAACTAGCCAATTGGCACTTTGCACATTTGGCTGTATTTAATTAGTTAGAGAGTAAGAGATAAACATAATGTTGAGTGAAAGTTATAGGAAGTTTGACAAAAATTGTTAAGAACTTTCCCTTAACTTTCTATTTTACTTTTATTTTCTTCCAAACCAAACATAAGCCCTTTTTTTTCTCTGTCCCGATAATACTTCAAATTGCTCATTGCAAATTGCAATGGAGGGTAATCGGGTATCTTGGACTTATAAATAAAAAATGATAAAAATGGAGTTGTTAAGCAAGCACGTATGTATGATAAGGGTTGTTTGTACCAATTTCAGAAAATATGGAGGAGTTTAAGCCCATTTTAAAACATACAGGGGAAGTTTAAGTAATATTTCTAAAATATAGTAAGGCACAGAAAAGCATATGCCGATAAAGACGGGCGAAAGGAAAAGCCTTCACCGCCATGGAAATTTACAGGGTTTCTTCGATTTATTCTAGGGTTTCTTTTTTCCAAACCAAAGCATTCTGAAACTCTTCTCTACAACTTTTTATAGTCGTAATAACTGTGTCTCAATCGCGAAATTTACACTTGGGGGGCTTAAGCTCTCTCCTTAATTCCCGTAGTTCTGATTTAATTGAAACATCGCCGGCGAAAAGATTTTCCGAGAATTTCTGATTGCAGAAGGGCTGATTAACATTGGTTATAGGGGTTTCGGTTTTTCTTGTTTTCTTGAAAGGCATAGTTAATTATTTCTTGGTCAGTCTGATTTGATAAAGCTAGGGTTTTTCTGTTTGAGACTGGTGATTAGGATATGCCAGAGTTTGGTGGATCGGGGAAAGCTTGATTGCCGCCGAAGGCGTGCGGCTTCTCGTACTGAGGGGGGTTTTGTATGGAAACGCGGAGCCGGAAGCGGGCGGAGGCCTCCTCAGCAGCCCCTTCATCTCAGCCTACCACCCGTTCGAGCAAGAGAGCTCGTGTATCTGCTGCAGCGTCATTGTCCGTTCCCTCCATTTCGTCAATCTCCACTCGTTCCCGCCAGAATTCACGGTCCCAAGAGTCATTGGCATCGGCTGCTCCAATGGATTCCAACATAGAATCTTCTGGTTCTGCTGCCCGCCGCGAATCATCCGGCCGCCGTGGTAGGAACCAGGGTTCAGAGAGAGACAAAGATTCGGATAAAGGGAAAGAAAAGGAGACTGAAATTAGGGTTAGGGACAGGGACAGGGACAGGGATAGGGATCGGGATAGTTTAGGGTTGAGTATAGATGGTGGTGGCGGTGGGATTGATGATGATAATGATAGTGAGGGTGGTGTTGGAATTTTGCACCAGAATCTGACTTCTGCGAGCAGCGCTCTCCAAGGCCTTCTTCGGAAACTTGGGGCTGGGTTGGACGATCTTCTGCCTTCTTCTGCTGTTGTAGCAACATCATCCTCTCATCAGAGCGGGCGGCTTAAGAAGATACTTTCTGGTTTGCGTGCGGATGGAGAAGAAGGGCGTCAGGTTGAGGCCTTAACTCAGCTCTGTGAGATGCTCTCTATTGGGACCGAGGAGTCGCTTAGCACATTCTCTGTTGACTCATTTGTGCCTGTTCTTGTTGGGCTTCTTAACCACGAGAGTAATGCTGATATTATGCTGCTAGCTGCCAGGGCGCTTACCCATCTTTGTGACGTTCTACCATCGTCCTGTGCTGCTGTTGTTCACTATGGTGCTGTTTCGTGCTTCTGTGCACGGCTGCTTACCATCGAGTACATGGACTTGGCTGAACAGGTTCCATATTTTCTTCATTCAACATCCTTTTTTAGATAACATCCCTTCTTCCTTGCTTCTCAGATGTATTTGGTATTGGTGCAGAGAAATGCACATTCATATATTCAAGCAAATCCATAAAGTAGAAAAGGAAAAACAAAAAGTCGATTTTCAGATCCCAATAGTAGCAGTAGAATTTTCTTTAGGGCATCAAATATGGTTTAGAAAGAAAACTTAATTATTTGTCTTCTTTGGGAACTATTGTTCATTTAAATCTGTCACTCGTTCATTGAGATCCGATAATTTAATGCTTTCTTTATTTCAATGCACGCAGTCTCTTCAAGCTCTTAAGAAGATTTCCCAGGAACACCCAACTGCTTGCTTGCGAGCAGGTGCACTTATGGCAGTGCTATCGTATCTTGACTTCTTCTCTACAGGAGTTCAGGTGGTCCATCCATTAAATTAATGTTCACCATCAATGTTGTTCAACAACAGCGAAATTTTCTTGTTTTGTTGTTGGAAACTGAACCAATGATGTGTATTTTTGTTTGATTGTTCTTTCTGTGTTTGTGTGTCCCGTGTTCCAGAGGGTTGCATTATCTACTGCTGCAAATATGTGCAAGAAACTTCCATCAGATGCAGCTGACTTTGTGATGGAAGCTGTACCTCTTCTTACAAACCTTCTTCAGTATCATGATTCAAAGGTAAGATCGTCATGTCCAAAATTATGATTTTAGCAGTAAGATTTTCGTCTCCAGGTGGTTGCCTCTCCCTCTAATGAACTGTCTTGTGTTTATTATTCTTCAGGTTTTGGAGCATGCTTCTGTCTGCTTGACTCGAATTGCGGAGGCATTTGCCTCATCTCCAGATAAATTAGATGAACTGTGCAATCATGGACTGGTAGCACAAACTGCTTCTCTTGTTTCTATCAGTAATTCTGGAGGCGGGCAAGCATCCCTAAGCACATCTACTTACACGGTATTTTCAAGTCTATATTTTTAGGTTAAATGCTTATGTTAGGGACCCTATTTAAAATATCTGCTGTGCAGGGTTTAATCCGCCTTCTTTCAACATGTGCAAGTGGGTCTCCATTGTGTGCCAAAACTCTGCTTCTCCTTGGTATCAGTGGCATTCTGAAAGATATTCTTTCTGGGTCCGGTCTAGTTGCAAGCATTTCTGTTTCACCTGCTTTAACCAGGCCACCAGAGCAGGTATTTGGTGCTTCTCTAGGTAGTTCATGTTGCCATGTGGGATAGGTGGTTTCCGTGTTGGCATGAGTTACCAATAACTATGATAAAATACCACTGCTTGTATAACTACTTTTTGTGCATTTAAAATTTATTCTTTTATGTCATTGGTTATTTCTCACCTAGGAAAGAATGTGCAACAAAGTCTGTTCCAGATTCCAACTTGGAGTGTATGGTGCTTTGTAATGTAGTATGTTAAATGTGCATGTGAGTTTGGTAAGAATGCCAATGTGATAGTCATTAATCAATTTGATGTGAACAATTCTTACAGGTTAAAGATGAATATTTGAGCATATCGATCAGTCTGATTTTTTTGACTAGTCATTCAATCGATTGATTTCATGAGTCGACTATTTTTTTCCTGCTTCTTTATCTTTTGTACAATATAATCTTGGGGAACCTTTACTCTGCTATTGTTTGGTCAGAATTTTAACTTTCTGTATGCTAGAAATGTCCACAGCTTTATTCAAGTGAGAAAACAAGCTGAATACATCCAGTCCAGTTGCTTCACCATAAGAGTTAAAATTCTGTTTCAATATGAGACTTGAAAACGTTCATGCCTAATACTTAAGTGCATACAGGGTAATATTTGATTGATTAATTAATTGAGATCCTATGTGCAAGCTTTTTGGGCCAGTTGTATGATTCCTATTCTGTTATTTTGCTCTATTCTGCATTTTTTGTTGATTAATTTTGTTCCATAGCATATGCTACATTGTTTTGGTCCTTTTGGAGTCCTGAAATACCACCAAATTATTCTTCATTGATGGATTCATTGGTCCACTATGCTCTTGAAGTTTGGATGTGACATGTGAACGTGAACCATCTTATTTCAAAGATGATAGAAGACTGATGTAGACCTTCATTCCAGATACACTCATACACAATTCCTAGCAAGAGGATACCCTACACGGCTACACCACCGCCTGTTGCTCACTTCTAGCCTCCAACAATCCACTACTAGCTTGTTGATTACTCGAAAGTCAGTAGAATATTGGTTTATAATCTACTCCAGATATACAATTCCCAGAACCTCCACATTGTTATCCTAGCTTCATGCTCACTACCCTCCAAACTACCTTCTCTAATATGAGTTGCTGCTTGTCATGTATCATGGCAATTAGCATCTGTCCAACCAACCGGTAATTTGATTATTGTTGTCTATCATGAGAGAGTCAAACAAAAAAGGGAAAAAATCCTTAGCCCTAGAACAAGGCCAACCTTTGTTAGATGGAAAAGCCGTTATGAGTGCCCTACCTTTTCCATTTTTAAACAACTTCCCATTCCACAAGAGAGAAGGTTTTTGTGAGACCGGCTAAAATGTAGCTTGATAACCTTTTATTTTGATGAGTTAAATTGTTTATATGAGGGGCCATTGCTTGGTGCATGGTAAAATCTTGGGCTGACAATAGTCAAAATGTGCACATCTGACTGAGAGTGGCCATTGCATGCAAAAAATGCTGGTTGATTAGGTGCATATCTGGTTTACCCTTCTCAAGACCCTGGACATCTAATGCCAGCATTGGGTAATGGTCCTCTAAGTGAAAGTTTTGTATTACTTAAGAAACAAAGAAAGGAACAATGAACAAAAGGCCCTGAGTACAGGGCGTATGTATGAAGTATGTAATATATATTATAATCTTAGTGACTGATGTTACATGGAGAAAAGTGTCTGACAAAGGAGGTGTGAGACTTGACAAACCTGAAAAAGTGGACATTTTTTTGGTAAAAAATGGATATTAGTACAATGTTTATAACTTCATATAGTTAAGGCTTTTTAATAACATTTTCATTTTTATATGAAAATGGAGTGCTTGTTGTAACAGAAAAGAAATTAAAAAGCATATATGAATCAGACATAGTTGGGATAAGACATGGATGATGATGGTGATGATATGCATGCAAACATAAATAAGCAATTAAGGCAATTTATAATTGATCATACTTGGTTGTCATTTACAAATTCACAATTTCTGTCCAAAATTAGTACCAAATCTTTGAGATTTCTTAGTTGCATATTACAATTCAGACAAGAGAAGACTCCCTTTAATCTTTGTGCTTGTAAATATGTCTCACATGGGTGCAATGTTTACCTTGCATCGTCCATGTAACATAGCTCATTAAGGAGGATGGTGACACATTTTGGAGTTTATCTTATTGTATATTATGGTAGCACTATTCTTGATGATTAAGTGAATCAAGTTGCCTCTGTGATCCTCAAGAGCACTGAGGTGAAGAGATTAAAGCTTCCCCTGTCTTGGATATTATTGCATTCACAACCAAGAAAGTGAGTGCAAGTACAAGTTCTTGGTGCTGAAAGTATTTTCCAATAATGAAAATGAATTCGGGTAAAAGCTCTTGGTGCTGAAGTCAAGGACCAAAGGCAGTGCAAGCCAATGCTGTTATGCTATCTCAAAACCTAACTCAATGAGATGCTAATTATGGTTGCCAAAGGTTGTGCTAGTGACAAATGATTACCAATGAAGAATCATAATACAATACTTTACCTTTTCTCAAAGAAAGAAAAAGAAAGATTATCCGTGTCACCAAGTGCTTCTTGACCAATCTACCTTCCAGTCATTGTTAATTTATTCTCTCTATTACAAGTCCTTGAACATCCATGACAACTGGTATGTGGAGGCCTTTGCAATAACAACAAAAAACTTGTCCTCAATGAATTGCTTGAACCATCTGGACCCAAGTGTCATATTAGAACACAGGTTCTTAATGAACATCCATTAAAGTTTTACTTTATGATATTTCTTAACATGTAGATGGAACACTTTGAATGGGGGGCACTAGGACCAGGAGCAAGGGGTGGGGGTGGTCTTCAGCGATAAGGTCTTTTATTTGTTTGTAATGTTTGTCAGCATTTTGCTGTATTGCATTGTTTGTTTCTGTTAGGGTCCCCAACTGTAGGGGTACATTCCTTATGATCCTAAGAAAGCTCTTTTGACATCTAGTACTGATTCACTAGGTAGAGTGCAGAACTGTGTATCGAGTATATTTTTTCATGCTTGAAAGGTGATAAATTCTTGCTTTAATCAATGATGATGCTTATTTCTGGCCAAAGTGGGACTACAATGTCTCTATAAGCTTAGTTGTTCAGATCTCCAAATTCATTCTCCATTCTTAGAAGTGCCACTTGTATGACAGCCATGGTGAATGAGTTGTTTAGGAATCTTGAATCAACTGGCAAACAGAGGGAGGGAGAGATGGAGTAGGAGAAATAGCTTTTGGGAACATCATTGCATTTTCTTATTGATGTTCTTTCTCTGTGAATTGAGCACTTCCAGTCGGGTCCTTAGCCTACTCTTGCCAGTCAGTTATAGACATCTCACTTGACACCTGCTCCTTCAGGTGTTTCTTCTCTTAATCTGCTCTCTATTTGATGCTTTTTCATGATCTGAAGCTTATAGAATGTTTGTTTAAGAAATCAAAATAAAGGTGGTCTAGAAGATGCACTTAAAGGTTGTTACATACTATTATTCTTTCTTTAACACATTAATGACTTTAAATGACTTTCGCATTGCATTATTGTGTGTTATGAGAAAAAATATTCATGCATTTCAATTTTATAGTATCTATGAGAAAACCTTAAATGTATCTTAACTTGTACTCACCTCTAAGAAAAAAGTGGGGCAAACTAGTTTTACTGACCTGGCGGGCACTTTTATTTTTTGATGATATCTGATTTGGGGGATTACATTTCATTGCTTAGATATTTGAGATTGTGAACCTTGCGGATGAGCTTCTTCCCCCACTGCCTCAAGGAACCATTTCCCTCCCAACCAGCTCAAATTATCTAGTGAAAGGCTCTGCTGGAAAGAAATCTCCTGCCAGTAGTTCTGGGAAGCAAGAAGATGCAAATGGAACTGTCAATGAGGTTTCAGTCCGTGAGAGGTTATTGCATGATCAACCTGAGCTCCTGCAGCAATTTGGAATGGATCTTCTTCCTGTTCTGATACAGGTTAGTTGCTCCAAGGGTTTTATTTTGTGCTAAGAGGCTTTAACCTGCCCCTTCAATTAAATAGATAATAGGGTTCATACTTTTTATTATTTTACTCCCCTTTTGCTGAGCAGATCTATGGATCTAGTGTGAATGGTCCAGTTCGCCACAAATGTTTGTCGGTTATTGGAAAACTGATGTATTTTAGCACAGCAGATATGATTCAGTCTTTACTAAGTGTAACAAACATATCAAGGTACTTGCATTATTTTACTCTTTCTTGTATTGATTTATGCTTTGTGCAAATATTATTCAGTGTGTATTTTTTTTTTCATGCATATTTAAGAAGTTTATTTTTTGGTTATCTATTGTTTGATCTCCCAGTTTCTTAGCTGGTGTTTTAGCGTGGAAAGATCCACAAGTATTGATTCCTGCCCTTCAGATAGCCGAGATTCTTATGGAAAAGCTTCCTGAAACATTTTCTAAGATGTTTGTGAGAGAGGGGGTGGTTCATGCTGTTGATACACTTATATCAACTGATTCTTCAAATACAGCTACTGTCCAATCATCTTCTGTTGAAAAAGATCATGATTCTGTACCTGGAACATCATCACGTTCCAGGCGCTATCGGCGACGCAGTGGTTGTTCAAATGCAGATGTAAATTCCTTGGAAGAATCAAAAAGTGTTATACCTGGCAGTGTTGGTTCACCGCCAGCATCAGTAGAAATCCCAACTGTTAACTCTAGTCTTCGCACAACCGTAAGTGCTTGTGCAAAAGCTTTTAAAGATAAATATTTTTCGGCAGATAGCAAGGCAGCTGAAGTCGGTGTAACTGATGACCTTCTATGCTTGAAAAACCTATGCTCGAAGTTGAATGCTTGTGTTGATGATCAAAAGACTAAATCAAAGGGTAAATCAAAGGCTTCTGGCCCTCGCATAGCTGACCTTTCAGCTAATACAGAGGAACACTTGATTGGAGTGATATCTGAGATGCTAGCAGAACTGAGTAAAGGAGATGGTGTTTCCACATTTGAGTTCATTGGTAGWGGAGTTGTTGCAGCTTTGCTGAACTACTTTTCTTGTGGAACCTTTTCCAGGGAGAGAATATCAGAAGCTAATCTGCCTAGGTTTCGACAACAAGCACTTAAAAGATTCAAGTCTTTTATTTCTGTTGCTCTTCCTGCTGGTGTTAATGAAGGGAATGAAGCTCCTATGACTGTCTTGGTTCAGAAGCTTCAAAATTCCCTATCTTCTTTGGAGCGTTTTCCAGTTGTACTGAGCCATTCCTCTAGGTCATCCAGTGGAAGTGCACGTCTCTCATCAGGGCTGAGTGCATTGGCTCAGCCATTCAAGCTACGTCTTTGTAGAGCTCAAGGAGACAAATCTCTTCGTGATTATTCGTCAAACATTGTGTTGATTGATCCCCTTGCAAGTTTAGCTGCTGTAGAAGAATTTCTTTGGCCAAGAGTTCAGCGAGGTGAACCTGCACAGAAACCCTTGGCATCTTCAGGAAATTCTGAGCCTGGTACTACACCTGCAGGAGCTGGTGCTTCATCACCATCTACATCTACACCTTCTTCCACTCGTCGCCATTCCACCAGATCCAGATCATCGGTGACTATTGGAGGTGCACCTAGGAAGGACCAGGCTCAAGATAGTAATGCAAGCTCTTCAAAAGGAAAGGGCAAGGCTGTTCTGAAATCTGCTCCAGATGAGACAAGAGGACCTCAAACAAGAAATGCTGCACGCAGAAGAGCAGCTTCAGACAAAGATGCCCAAATGAAACCTGCCCATGAGGACTCTAGCTCTGAGGTATGACTATAGTAACTCAAATATCCAGATAATAGTTAAATATTCTGGGTGTTGTACTTGTACTTGATGTTTTGTTTCCCATAACTGTAATATCCACATCATTGTAATTGTAAGTTTTATGTGCCACTATCCTCTGGCACATGCACACATATACATATGCAGGATGGAATGTACTGTGGCTGTCTTGACTCTTGATTGTGTGCTCAAACCATGTTTAGCTCCTTTTTTTTATTCTCCTTGTATATTTCATACAATTATTCAAATGGTATCTTGTACTGACAAAAAAAGGTTTTCTTATTGCTCAATTATCGGAAAAATGCCGGGTTTTAGCTGAGCTGATGAATCTTGATAATGCCGTGTGTTATGTGGCTGTACACATTTGCTGAATGTGTCTGTAGAATTGTAGCTAGGTAGCATATGATAATAGCTTGGTTTGGATTTTTCATATCTTCCTGAGGAAAAAATTTCCACTTTTATTCCTCAAATTTTAGCTAATTTGGTAACATGTAAATCACCAAAGCATGAAGTTATTAATATGGGAGAAAAGTTGTACCAGTCATTTTTGTGAGTTTGTGTAGCACATGGGAATTGATTATTGATTGCATATTCTGGGCATTATGGAAGCATCTGCTATATTATGCACTCATTATGCATAAAGTTCTTAAGAAACTTCAGTTGCCTTGCTTTGCTGTTATCAATGCTCTGAACAAATGTTGCTGGATCCTTGCAGTAGCATACTGAGAGCTGTTTTCTTTACTTGTCTATTTTGAACATAGACTTATATTTCCCTACTGTATTTTTTTTTTTAGTTTAAAAGGTTCCACTCATGAAGATGCATACTATAATCATCTTTTATTTGTAAGAACTTTTTGTCTTAAATTGCAATTCCTGTTTTATGAATTGACCTTTACAAGAGTGATATTACTAACCTGTATTTTCTTGTAACATATCACAAAATAAATGTTTGTTTTGTGCAGGATGAGGAGTTGGATGTCTCTCCAGTTGAGATCGATGATGCATTGTTGATTGAAGAAGATCTGTCAGAAGATGATGATGATGACCAAGAAGAGGTGAATAATTTGATTTCCTCTATATTTTTGGATGATCAAAAAATAGTTTATCATGTATGAACGATTTATATGGAATTGGGGGGGGGGGTGGAGGGGCAAAATAAACCAGCGAAAGCTTTATGTGTTATCATCCTCTGCATGAAGAAGACATGTTAAATTACAAAATCTCTTCTCTCAAAAGAAATCAATAAAAATGTTACTTGCACTGTTGCTCTCTCTCTCTCTCATGACCGTCGAATCTTTCATGAGGCAATTTAGTCAGGACCACCATAAGGCCCCTTGGTGTTTGTCTTGCTGGCCCTTCTTTTTGGGCAAACTTTATATTAAAAAAATATTACTTAAAATGTTTAAAACTTAACCATAGTTTTTGCTGTTTAACTACCTTAGCTGAGAGAGTGCAGGAGAAAAAGTTAAACCATCCTCTTCTCAATGTTCTGTATATTGAAAGAAGTCAATATTTTGCAATACTTTAAGGATTAATTGTAGAATATAACATGTGCTGCTCTTTCTTTGTTAGTGAGTCTTTGTAGAGTTGAGCACTGGCATGCATTAACCAGGTTGTATTTTTACTGTTTCTCCATATTGCAATCATATTTGGGAGAATGGCGGTTCATCCCAGGGTCAGAATTTTTAGGCCCAAAGTACAGTTGGGGTAGGTGCCCACTCGGAATTGATGCCAATTCATGGGCTGGCATTGGTGTATAGAGTGGGGGTATTTGACATTTTGAATGTTTGTAGATCTGCAGTGGAATTCAGAAATCTGCATTGGGCCTGTCCGTACTCTTCCGATCATATTTTATGTGTTAAACTAAAGAAATCTAAAATAAAGAAAAACGTAGAAGGAAAAATCAGAGACAACTTTGTGGCTGTTGAGGAGATTTCTACTTGACATGGTTGAAATCAACATAGTAAAAATGAACTATAATAGGATGCACTATAGGTGAAGCTGAGGTGACTGATTTTCAGTTGAACATGTTTGGTTGTTGTGTGGGTTAATGCATGACTGGGGTGTTGGTTGGTGTAGTAAGTTACACTTTTTCTTTGATATTTCAAGTTGAAGCTAAGGTGATTGATGTTCATTTTCTTCTCAGGTGTTAAGAGATGATCCCCTTGGCATGGCAGAGAAAGTACATGACGTGAAATTGGGAGATTCAGCCGAGGATGGTGCAGCTGCCCCTGCAACCAGTGATAGCCAAACCAATCCTTCTTCTGGTTCCAGCAACAAAGCTTCCACAGTTAGGGGCATGGAGTCTTCTGATTTTAGGGGTGGAAGCTCATTTCGTTCAAAGGGTGCACTGTCATTTGCTGCGGCCGCTATGGCTGGGCTTGCATCTGCAAGTGGTAGAAGTATCAGGGGTGGCAGGGATCGACATGGACATCTTTTATCTGTTTCCTCAAATGATGCAAAATTGATATTTTCAGCGGGTGGCAAGCAACTCAACAGACATTTAACTATATATCAAGCCATCCAACGCCAGCTTGTACAGGATGAGGATGATGATGAGAGGTATACTGGCTCTGATTTTCTGCCTGGTGATGGAAACAGGCTTTGGAGTGACATTTATACCATCACGTACCAGAGGGCGGATAGGCAAAATGATAGGACTTCAGCTGGAGGTTCTGCTTCAACCACGCCATCCAAATCTGTCAAGGCCAGTTCTGCTTCCAACGCCACTTCTGAATCTTCATGGCATCAAACCTCTCTTCTGGACAGCATCTTGCAGGGGGAGCTTCCATGTGATCTAGAAAAATCTAACCCAACTTATAACATATTGGCATTGTTGCGTGTATTGGAGGGTTTGAATCAGCTTGCACCTCGTTTACGAATCTTGGCATTATCAGATATTTTCTCAGAGGGGAAAATTTCTAGTGTGGAATTGAGTTCAGCTGGTGCCAAGGTTCCTTACGAGGAGTTCATCAATGGCAAGCTCACTCCTAAATTGGTTCGGCAGATCCAGGATGCCCTGGCACTGTGTAGTGGTAGTCTTCCTTCATGGTGCTACCAATTGACCAAAGCTTGCCCATTCTTGTTTCCTTTTGAAACTAGGAGACAATTTTTCTATTCTACTGCTTTTGGGCTGTCTCGTGCGTTGCATCGACTGCAGCAGCAACAGGGTGCTGATGGTCATGGCTCAACAAATGAGAGAGAGGTGCGTGTTGGGAGATTACAGCGCCAGAAGGTCCGTGTCTCAAGAAACCGTATCTTGGATTCTGCAGCAAAAGTTATGGAGATGTATTGTAGTCAAAAGGCTGTCCTAGAAGTAGAATATTTTGGTGAGGTTGGCACAGGGTTAGGTCCCACACTTGAGTTTTACACTCTTTTAAGTCATGACCTGCAAAAGGTTAGCCTTGGAATGTGGAGGTCTAATGCTTCAGCAGATAAGCCAGCAATGGAAGTAGATGCAGATGAACAGAAAAACAGAAAAGCTGATGATACTTCAGACGAAAAGAAACTTGAATTGGACTCTGCTGCAGGTGACAGAGATCTTATACATGCTCCTCTTGGGTTGTTCCCTCGCCCATGGCCTCCTAAGACAGATGCTTCTGAGGGTAGCCAATTATCTAAAGTGATAGAATATTTTCGGCTTCTTGGACGAGTGATGGCAAAAGCACTTCAAGATGGACGGCTTCTTGACCTTCCATTATCAACAGCATTTTACAAGTTTGTGCTTGGTCAAGTAAGTTGAACTGCTGAGTTATTATTCAGTGATAGGGGAATTTGTTTTTCAAAGTTATTGTGTTTTTTCCTGTTGAATTTCGAAGTGTTTTAGTATCCTAGTCTATATGCAGGAGCTTGATTTGCATGATATTCTTTCATTTGATGCCGAGTTTGGGAGAATACTACAAGAATTGCAAGTCCTTGTTTCCCGGAAGCAGTATCTAGAAGCAATGGGTTGTAGTGATCAAATTGCAGATTTACGTTTCCGTGGCACTCCAATTGAAGATCTTTGTCTGGATTTTACACTTCCTGGTTATCCAGATTATGTATTAAAACCAGGGGAGGAAAATGTATTGTTGTTTTTTCTTGGAAAGTACCTCTTTTTTTCAGTTCATTATGCCTCTGCATTGGTCCTGAAGTCTGAAATTGTCTTGATAGGTGGATATTAATAACTTGGAGGAGTATATATCCTTGGTAGTTGATGCAACTGTCAAGACTGGAATTGTACGACAAATGGAAGCTTTCAGAGCAGGGTTTAATCAGGCAAGCGACTTTTTTCTGAACAGATTTGTTTGAAATAATATGCTTGTGGTACATGCCCATTCCATTTTTCTAAATGGGGCACTCCAATTGATGGCTGAGTACTTGAAATAGCACTTTATATTAGTTTTTATTGTTGTAAACAGGGGCATCTTTGTCTGTCTTGGTATGATGTGCCCGAACATTGAAATAGGATATATCATTATGACTAGTAGCCTTGAGCCATATCTTATAGTTGGATCTGCTGCTGTTTTCATGTTTAAGTTTGGGTGCAGTATTTGTTTCTAGGTTTGAGTGCTCTCAATGTACTGTCACTGTTCCATTTCTTAGTTTTGTGATGGCTATAGGAAATAAACCTTCCTTATTTATAGATTTGCTTATTTGGCTTATTTTCTTGTTTATGACCTAGATGTTGTTGTCTGAGACATGCAGGTCTTTGACATTTCGTCTCTGCAAATATTTTCTCCTGATGAATTGGACCACTTGCTATGTGGCCGTAGAGAGTTGTGGGAGGTAATTTATTGTTAATGTGGTTCTTGAAAGCTATGTCATGATTGTAGCTCTTCTTGTGATTTTAACTTTTTAATTTATGCAGGCTGAGACTCTGGTTGATCATATAAAATTTGACCATGGATACACTGCCAAGAGCCCTGCAATTGTCAATGTATGCTTTTGCTTTAGATACAAGCATTGAATTTTGAAACCAAATTTATATCTATATCCAATTCTCACTTTATCCACATTGTTTCTTGTTCCCGCTGTTGTCTTTAGTTACTAGAGATAATGGGAGAATTTACACCTGAACAGCAGCGTGCCTTCTGCCAGTTTGTAACTGGTGCACCCCGGCTTCCACCTGGTGGTTTGGGCGTACTGAACCCAAAGCTGACAATTGTGAGAAAGGTAAATGCCTATCTATGTATGTATCTAATGCTGAGCTGAGTATTATAGGTTTATATGAGGTTTATTGACGTAGACATTTTGCGTCTGGCACAGCATTCTTCCACCACAACAAACACGGCATCAAATGGAACAGGGCCTTCTGAATCAGCGGATGATGACTTACCTAGTGTCATGACTTGTGCTAATTACCTCAAACTTCCTCCCTATTCAACTAAGGTCCTGCACTTCATTATCATGAGAAAGGAAAAAAGTGAATGAGAAAAAAAAAAACGTCTTTGATATTATCCTATTCCATTCTTTAATTATTGTACATGGTCTTATAGTTGATTTTTCTTTTTGCAGGAAATTATGTACAAGAAACTACTGTATGCCATCAGTGAAGGGCAAGGGTCCTTTGACTTGTCTTGAGCCTCCATGACTAACCAATCCATTGGTATATATAATTATCTTGACACCACCATTGGGGGGGTGGGGGGTGGGGGGTTGGGTTGCATTGCAGTACCATTCATGGGCTAATTTTGGTTTAGGAAGTTCAGCCCATTTTCTACTTGAAGAAGAAACATCTTCCCTGTTCCATTCCCCTCTTTTTCAAGATTTACCATGGCATGCCATGTTGTATCTCGTTGGAATGGCGGGAAGTGGTGGGTTTCTCTGCATTTTTTTTCTTATTCCCCTTTCTTCTGTTCCTGTAAATTCTCAATTCACCTTGCACCGTGGCCCACCAGCACAAGTTTTATACTTTCACCTTTTGCTTCCTTAATTAATTCTTCAATAATATAATATTAGTTCTTCATGAAGTCTGGTTCAGCTTTGACCGACTAGTACTTTTAAAATGATGTTCTGAAGGGGGAGATTCCAGGGGATCTTCCTGCCGCTATTGTTTGTAAATAAAATGAATCACCTCAGTTTTCATTTTTATGTTTTTATGTTTTTGTTATTAGTTTCTTCCCAAGCATATAAATGTATGGACATGAAAAGACTAGTTAAAAGAAATGCTTAACATTGTTTATGTCTGTGTAGACGCTTCAATTTTTGCCCTTCTGTACTTTTCGGTTTCAAGATTTAAGCCGTGGGTGTACGTGTATCGTATCGTATCGTATCCTTCATTCTCTAGGGCCTTGACTCTTGTGGGGGTGGGGGGTTTAATAATATATGCCCAGGCCAAATGTGTTGTCTTCGGTACTGCTACTTTTGCAGTTTTATCCTTTACAAAAACACCCCCTATTGTGTCTGCAACCGCTCTACTTATCTCTGCCCATCTCAGATGGGAGTATGACCCTTTGGACCCCTAATCCTAATGTTCATTTGACCAAATTAATTAAAAGAAAATACACTGTTGATTTTGCCCTAGGTTTTGTTTCTAAAAAGATTGATGCCATGATTTCAAGGGTTATTATTGGAATTAAAAACCTTGGGCTCGTGGAAGTTTAATTAACTAAAAGGGGTCACGTGATCATTCACCAACGAAAATACAAACATTTTGTGTTGGAAGGTGAATTAACTATAACGATTGCAAACTATAGGGTTGTTTTAATAATATATGCAAACTATATGGTAGATTTTAGTAGATGTGCCAAATTATAGGGGGTTAGGGTTAATGAACCTTTTCTTAGGAGTGATCATGCACCTATCCTTACTTCTGCCAGTGCCAGCCCATTATTGTCCATGGAACAGAAGCCACAAGTGGACATCGTCGAACAATTTTAGCTCTTTCTGGAAGAACAATATATTGGCTATTTTCCTTGTTAAATAGCTTCTAAGAGATGGAGTCCAATCCACCATCCTCTATGTCGATAATATGAAGTTATAAACATCATTAGTGCTTCTATGCGAGTTAGAGCATTTATGCATATTTGAGTCTCTCAAGGCTCACCCTTTCTACTCCCTTGAAAGAGGGCTCTTAACCATGAACCACTTGGAGATTGGTGGAAGAGCTATGCCTTAGAATCTCCAACTTGAGGATTAGACTAGCTCAACTATCCTCTACACCTTTCTAGCAGGGTTTTCAGAGATAAACAGGGGAAGTTGTTTGAGAGGAGGTAAGCCCACATTGTGATGAATCCAATTCCAATCCCATGGTCGAAAACAAGAAACCAACAATGGAGTTATGGTACCTCTTCCCCAGAAAAAGAAAATAAAAGAATAAAAAAACAGCTTTCTCACCATGAGCAATAACACTTGCCTAGAAACAAATTCTATTCAATGACCAAACATTCAACCCAGTTAAAATGGTGGTCTTAGTATATAAAACGATAAAAGAATTGTATGTACTTATAAACAGGAACTCTTATAACTTATTAGGCGTACACAAAAGTACAAGAGGATCAAAGTGATCAGATAAATGCTATCAAGCTATTTAATTTTAATTTCGATGCATCTGTATGTAGAGGAGAAACAGCAATCAGATTTCAGATGCTTTGCAAGTATGTCTCCATAAATCTGATCCGGTTTAGGGTGATCTGAATTCTAATGGTTTAAAATCGGACCAAATATGAATCCACCCTGCACTTTGGAGGTAGTTTTGGGTGGAAACAATCTCCCTTTCAACTCCGCTAAAAAGGTAGTTTTCCTTTTATTTTTTTATTAGAGATACAAAATTCAGATCACCCTTAACCAGTGCAAATACAAACAAAATAATACAAAATACAAGGTTTTACACTACATATTTGCATTTGTACTCTTATGCATGTGATGTCATATACAAACAAAAAATGACATCACCTGATAGCGGAGGCGAAATTCATTTCAAAAGACGGGACGTTTTAGTATCTATCATGAACCCTTGGGAAAGTTTGAGTCTTTTTCCCTTTTTTTTATAGATACCAGGAGTGAATCCAAATATTCAACAAATAAAAATTTTATACATAAAAAATATCTCCCATAATTCACAAGAAAATGTTTCTAAAAGTGCAATTGGATGCCTATGCTTACAGAGTGAATATAGAGTTTTTGCCTGTAGTTGGAGGAAATCCAATTGCACTGGGAGCAAAGAGCATGGATGCTTGCCCTGATCATCTGAACAAGAGACGAGATATGGAATTTCATGTCTCACTACACACCTCGTAAATTGTAAAGACCATTCAGTCGTCTAACTTAGAGTTCGGATTTGCTCCTCATACCAACCTTAAAGAAATTGGAGTTGGAGCTGTACATCTGGAGCATCTCCGTACTTGTAAATTATCATTCATTCGGAGATATTTCCAATGCACGGCTGCATTGTGCTATGATGTTAGTGTGAGGCACACCCTGTGATGAACAAATAGGGCTGTTAATGGGTCGGGTCTGACCTAACAGACCCAAATAGATTGGGTTGGTTCTGTTTTCAGGAGCATGAATCGATGGGTCAGTTTCAGTTCCTAATATATTGGCCCGATAATTATCAGTTTAGAACCAGTTCTACCTATTCTCAAATCGATTCAGACCCAATCCAAACTATATATATAATTGGATTCATTGAATCATATTTTATTGTCCCAAGAACCGAATCAATTCTATTTTGGGTCTAAAATTATACATATCCTATTAGGTCTGGTTTGATCCCAACTCTCTACTTGGACCCGTCCCAGACCCTACCCTTTGATAGCCAACGGAACAAATCTGAACTCTCTAACTTATGCTTGAAAGGGAAAAAGTACCGGAACCTCAACCCATCCCCACAAGTCAACACCCTCAAGTTCCCCAAAGAAATTTAGAGGTGAGATCAATAGCGAAAATTTTACATATCGATGTAAATCTACCTTCCTCTGTCCAACGGTTACCTCACGTCTCTTCTGTCCAGCACTGCATGTCTTCGTTCGAACCAAGAAGAGAGAACCAGTGCGACGGCGGCATCCCAAATCGGCGAGTTCCGATTCCAAAGCCCAGCTCCACTAATACTACCAATCTGCCATCCATCCACGCAGGTGCTTGGCACCGCCGGTCGGGGATTGACGGAAATGGGTTCCGACCTCTACCAATTCCGCCTTTATTCACTCGCTTTTTTCTCTCTCGCCCTTCTGGTTCACTCTGGGCTGAATCTCGACCCTTCAGATTTTGACGCTCTCTTTCTTCTCCACAAAGACTTGGGTCGTTTCAACGGTCAACGCTACTTACCAGAGAACCCGTGTTATTCGGCCGCTGGTATTTTCTGCGAAAGGAGATTCTCCGGTGACTTGCCAGTGCTCCGCATCACAAGAATTGTCTTGGAATTGCAGCAGCTCGATGGATTCCTTTCTCCTGCAATCGGTGGTCGTCTCACACAACTCAGAGAGCTCTCTCTCCCTGACAATCACCTCATTGACAAAATTCCTCGACAAATCATCGACTGCCGGAAATTGAAAATCCTAAACCTGTGAAACAACCGCTTTTCTGGCAGAATGCCATCAGAATTCTCCTCGCTTGTAAGCCTCCGATCCCTTGATCTATCTTCAGATAGCTTTTCGGGCGATCAGTCCAACAGTGAAAGCAGCGGCTGTTGCTCCGTCAAGCGAAAAGCAAGGCCGGTGTAAATTTCCAAAATCAACCGATTTTAATTTCCACCGGTCACTAAATCGGTTCATATTAAAATTTAATTTACACCTCAAAATCTCAGCAAATTCTTAGAGATTGCTGATGAGGTGTCATTGGTAATTGTTATATGGGCCATTCAACTTTAATATCCAAAAGATGTCTCTATAAGAAGCACGCCCTTACTTCATTTGTCTTATGTGGGGGCCCAATGGTATCCACTTGTTTAAAATACCGAATAAAATATTATAATAAAATTTTCAAGTTGAAAACACCACCATTCAATCAGAAATACTGCTGCAGCTGAAAACACCATTTTAAAGAAATCATAGAACCCAAAACATGAGTGGGTATGATTAGAGAGGGGTTATATACATTATTAAATTTACTTGTATTTAAATTGCCTTTTTTATTATTTTCATCTTTGTTTATTTTTATGAGCAAACCAACAATTAATCTTACATAGCTTCCAACAAATCCTGTTTATGGTTTTTCTTTCTTGTTATTTTAAGTGGTGGGATGAGCCTTGTTGCAACGATTAGGTTGATTCATTGTGACTTGAGTGACCAGGGTTTAAACCTTGAAAACAACTTCCCAGATCCCAACTAGGATTTTGCCTTCAACTTGGGCATCAAGCCAATCATTCCAACTTCTTTAGAGGTTTTCCCCCAACTATTATAGAATTTTCCTCAAGGTTGTGTTTGGTTTGAAAGAAAAGGTTGAGAAAGGTAGGAAAACCTTTACAAATCTTGTATAGGTTTCCCTACCTTTTCCTTCGAACTAAACGTAGCTTAAACTTTCATTTTAAGGATTAACATAACTCAGATCTCCCGAAATCTGAACTGCCTGCAAATCATCACGGCGTGGGTTTAGTGCTCAATTGGATGGGCTCGGAGCTGCTATGCACGAGTTGTTCCCACATCCCTACCCACGAGTAATTACAGCTGCACATTGGGAATATCTCACTTGACATTCGTGGAGAAATGTTCCCAATACATGGTGGTGATCTTTCATAGGTATTTGAATGTGGGAACAATTTGTGGGTAGCATATTTGAAGTGCAATTGGATGTTGATACTTAGAGCTCCTTATAAGTCATAACTAGAGGTGCAACTTGGGTGGGCTGGGCTAAGGTTGAGAAAATGTTAAAATTTTAATGGGCCTGGGAGTGTAAATTCATAACATAACATTGTATGAACTGATTTATGTTGCTGTCATGCTTATGCTTCATTGAGAGGTGCCAAGGCAGCATCGCAACTGTGGTCACAGCAAATGTGACTTCTCTTCAAATCCTTCTTTGCTTTGCCTATGCTACATTCATTACAATTTATGCTAACAAAATATACCCCTACCATGAATAGGATTGAATGGAAATTTGATGAATTTTTTGTTTGGTAATTAAATTTGGAATTTGACATCACTTCGGGTCCAATTCAAGATCAACGTTTAGGATTGATCTTTGGCTGGCCCTTAACTTGATCCAATCCATCTAATTTATACTCCCACTCAAACATGGTTTTGAAAATCAG